CATAATGTGTAGGGTAATTGCAGCCGCTTCACTGTCTTTTTAGAGGAAAGGAGTCTGCATTATTTTTTCTTTAATTGGATTTGAAAGAGGCCAGGCATCCAGCTGAGTCAAGAAATGTCTCAGTTAAGCATAGGGTAGGAAAGTGGGGACGGGGATTATTCTAAAAATAAGGAAATGGCATCTGGATCTTTAGTAGAGGCTTGATAGTGTTGGGATGTCATCTTGGGAGGATGTTTCCAAGTGTGACCACAGACTTCCTTTGTTCTAAATTGAGACTGTTGTTAATGTCAAAGTGGGGCTGACTATTTTTTATATAAGCACTGAACTCGAAGCTGGATGTAGAATGCAACATTGAAGGAGTTCAGTGAGAAATCTGTTTGAAATTGGTATGTGCCCTTTGCTTCATCTTCAAAGGTTCTGTTTCACAATGGCTGAGGATCATATATATACTCATAAGAAGTAGGAAAGGGGAGAAAAGGGGGGGGATTAATTTAATATCATCACTTTGTCTTTAATGCAGAGCCTCCAAAAATTAAGTAACAAGGTGCAATGTAAACTATCATAACACTTCTCTCTCTCTCTCTGTCTCTCTCGGTGTGTATGTGTATGTGTGTGTGTGTGTAGAGAAAGGGACTGTACATCAGTAGTAGGGAGCATGTTTATATTCAAGAGATTGTAGATTCAGTTTTTTTCTGTTCAGACAGCTGCAGATCTTCAACTGAAAAGGATTTATAAACAGCTTATAGGCAGTTCATGAAAACGGGGTAGTTCATACCTGTAAAAGGTGTGGTACAAAAGGTGTGAAAAACTATAGAGGGAGGTGGAAATAAATGTAAGTGCTAGGTCTATTAAATATAAATAGTGGTTCTTAACATGATTGCTTCTAAAAAATTCAGAAAAAGATGAGCTTGATGGAACTGGCCTTTCAACAGGTCTTTCAACACAGCCAATGCAATGGCTCTGTTCCCTACCTCCCCCTGCTCTAATTCGCTGTAATATGAAAACAACATGCCGTTATCCATTGAAATGTTATTTTTCTAGCCACCTGCCATGTATCTTTGTCTTATGATTCATTTTCAGCATGAGGGAGGCCATAATGCTTAATGTCCTGGTGTGTAAAATCAGTTATTTATTTACATAGCATGGTTTGTAACAGCTTGGTAACAGAGAACTGGGGTGAGAAACAAACACTATTTTGAGAACATCTGACAATTATATGGGTTGTTTTACATTCTCAAGGGGCTGCAGTATTGCTAAATTCAAACAGATGTTGTTAGTCAACAGTCATCACCTTCAGTTACATTACAGAAGGGGACAGAATTTTAAGGTTTTTTTTTAAAATAGCTGTATGAGCTAATATACAGTGGTGCCTCGCATAGCGACAATCTGTGCAGCAAAAATCACTGCTAAGTGATTTCGTCGCTATACGATTTAAAAAAGCCCATAGAAACACATTAAAACCTGTTTAATGCATTCCTATGGGCAAAAACCTGACCTTAAAGTGAAGATCCTCCATATGGTGGCCATTTTCACTGCCTCTTAAGCGAGGAATCCGTCCCTACACACAGCAGCAGCCATATTTTTTGCCCGGTGGCCATTTTTGAACTGCTGATCAGCTGTTAAAAAATCATCGCCTTGCGATGATCGGTAAGCGAAACAGGGAACCGATCATCGCAAAGCGAAAAAACCCATTTAAAACATCGCAATCTTTTGCGATCTCAAAATCTTCGTCGCTATGCGGTTTCATCGCTAAACGGAGCGTCCGTTAAGCGAGGCACCACTGTATAGCCATCTCATGCCATGGATGCTGCATCTCACATCCTCAAGCGGTCTTTAAAAACTAGGAGGCTACTGCCCCCCTTCCCCTATCAAAATAACTGCTGCAGGCTAAGATGACACTTTTGATTATTTCCTAATGCTCCATTGCTCGTTTCTGATAGTTCTTGTAGTGAAGTCACTGTCTGTATTGTCTTGTATGAATGTTTTGGGAGTGTGTCATCTGCTTTTTAGCAATTGTTCAGAGAGCAACTAGAAATCTGAAAGGTTTACTGTTCACAATATTTTCTTCCTTTCATTTTGTTTAACTAGGAGCCGACAGGTGTGTTTTTGAAAGTGACAAAGTACAGGAAAATGTCTGTAGAACTGTGATTATTCAGTGCAGGAGACACAGGGCCGCTGAACTCTTATTTTGACTGCTTAGTAAATTAGTCCATTCATCTTTACAATTTTATTGTAGCTGTTTTATAGAAGTATGAATAGGCAACAATAAAAATAAGAGCAAATAAAAATATTGAATATGTAGAACAATATTATAACCAAATACTGCAAATGTCTAATTATTACAGTTTTTTCCAAATGTCATAACCAAGGCAAATCACAATGGATTGCAAAGGGTATCTAGGGAATGGCTGGTTTCTTTTCTAAGGTGGTGCCGTTTTGCAGGCGATGGGCTTTTTTTATCATCCTTCACACAGGTTTGCCTTGTTTGAAAGGGCATCATATAGCCAAGGCACATTTCTCTAAGTTTATTTATTTATTTATTATTTTATTTATTTTATTTATATCCCACCTATCTAGTCCCTCAGGACCACTCTAGGCGGCTTACAACAGACATATAACAATATAACTAAAACAATTTTAAATAAAGGGAAAAACATTAAACAAGATGGGGCAAACACTAGGAGAGGAGAAAGGGAAAATCAGGAATTAACTAGGGGGGAAGGACTGCTGAAACATCAATGTTTTTAATTGTTTTTTAAAAATACCCAGTGAGGGAGCCGCGCGAATGTCAGGGGGAAGGTTGTTCCAGAGGCGAGGAGCCACTGCCGAGAAGGCCCGATTTCTTGTCTTCTCCTTCTGGGCCTCCCTCGGCGTTAGGCTCCTCAGCCTCACCTCCTGGCTCGCACGAGTGACACGGGTAGAACTTGGTGGGAGTAGGCGTTCCGCCAGATATCGAGGCCCTAAACCGTTTAGGGCTTTGTACGTAAGCATCAACACTTTGAAGTCGATGCGGAAACGGATGGGCAGCCAATACAATGTGGCCAGAGTGGGCGAAATATGTTGGAATTTTTTCACTCCACTGAGTAATCTGGCTGCCGCATTCTGCACCACCTGTAGTTTCCGCAGCAACCTCAAAGGCAGCCCCACGTACAGCGCATTACAGTCGTCTAATCTTGAGATTACAAGCGTATGTACCAAGGTAGTGAGTGCCCCCACATCAAGGTAGGGCCGCGGCTGGGCTATCCGCCTGAGATGAAAAAAGGCAGTGCGGACCACAGACACCACCTGGGATTCCATGGTGAGCGCCGGGTCCAGATGGATCCCCAAGCTGCGAACTGCACTATTGGCGGCAAGAGTCACCCCACCAAAAGAGAGAGAATTTCCCAAACCACCTACTGTGGGGGCGCCCACCCTCAGCACCTCTGTCTTGTCCGGGTTCAGCCTCAGCCCGTTCTCCTGCATCCATCGCAGTACGGTCGCCAGGCAGCGCTGAAGGGACAGAACAGCATCTCCTGCAGAAGGTGGAAAGGAGATGTAGAGCTGAGTATCATCAGCATACTGATGACATCGAGCTCCACGCCCCCGGATGACCCCTCCCAGCGGCCTCATATAGATGTTAAATAGCATTGGGGAGATGATCGACCCCTGTGGAACCCTGCAATTGAGACTCCACGGAGCCGAGAAACTCTCCCCAGGCTGTACTCTCTGGGGGCGGTCCTCCAAGAAGGAGCGGAGCCAAGCCAGCGCAAGGCCCCCAATTCCCAACTCGAGGTTGTTTTCTTTATATCACTTTTACAGAAATGGGCAGTCTGCATAAGGACAGATATTAAGAACAGGCTTGTTCAATATATAAGTAGCTAAAGAACCCTAACACTTTACAGATTGTGCCTGTGCCTTATATCATTGCCTTCTGTTCTCCTCTTCATCTCTGCCCTACTAGATTTAGAAAGAGGCAATAAATCTTTCGAATGTTATCTGTGCAAGTAGCATCACTTTAATATTATGAGATACAACTTTAATTTAATGGTCAGTCTTGACCTCAGTGCCCTGATTTAGAAAAGAGATGCCACTTCCAGATTGACTGAGAAGAAATATGATCTTCAAATGATGTTAGGCAGTGCATCCTAGATCTTTCAGTCTGCTTGACGAAGGAATTTCCATTTCTGATTTGTCCTAAGAACCATTAACTCTAGGATACTAAATATAACATGTGGAGATATGTACAAAAATTCAGAAATGGATGACACTGACCCTACTGGTTTAGATGTAAAGAAGGCAGTATAAATTGCTATACTGAGTTTAGCTTTGAATCTTTATGTAAATATTAGCCAAGGAAAGGTAGCTCTTTACATAATGCTGTGTTCAAACCTATAAATCCAAGTATTTGGTGCATTCAGATATTGGTGTCCAAATCTATCTTTTCATAGTCAGAATCCTTTTGTGCAGCTTTACTCCATGTAACTCAGGTAATAGCATCAACCATGGCCATTTTGGGGGCATAAAAAGTTTCCTATTTCCTCCTCCCATGTTCCCTTGAGATTATTTTAATGCCCCCAAAACAATTGCTATAGGTCTTTGTCGTGCCATGGGCAGTGACTGTTGTTGACTACCACTTCCACCTCTGTTCTACACTTCCCAAAAGCTTCCCTAAGATGAACAGGATGCTTAGGAATTCCCAGAACCTGGGATGGGAATAGGAAACTTAATTCTGCCAAAACAGCCATAGTGAATGATATCATCTAACAATATCATCGAAGTTGCGCTATTTGCAGAACAGGACTCTGGCTGATGTATGATGTTGTTTGTGCAGCAATTTTGAAAAGATTTTCCAGCACTCTCATTCCCAAATATCCTACAATTGTACCCTGTTTTCCACTAATCTCTAAGAAATTCTCCAAAGATGTGTTAGATAGTCTTGTGTAGTAGCACGTGTATTTTTGGTTGCTTTTGAACACAATTGTTAGCTATATATGATTTGAATAAGGTATGCTCTGTTGCAGGGCACTCCTGAAGACCTGCTATTCTTCTATGAACATATTCGAAAAGGTGGTGGAGTTTTTCGAGTCAACAAGTGCCTTCTTCTCTACCGTTATCATCTGCAAGCAGCAACTCACTCAGTTTTAGAGTAAGCCATTTTTTTGTATCAATTTTCTTGGGGCATTGGGTGGGAGCTAGTTGATAAACCATTCTTTTTGTAATAATATATGCAATTGTCAGTAATTTGCTTGCACACTCAAGCCATGTTCAGACAAATATGTAGGATGGTGCATTGAATCTATTTTCCTCTCTTTCCCAGCCCATAGTTCTGTGCCAAGAAGTTGCAATAGAACTTGAAATATCTTCTATACAATCCCTAAGGGTGGATTTGGAGAACTACTGTTCAATGGCATAGTTAGTTGAATTTGGTATTGATGTGATTTCAGCAGCCTTTGTATCGGTTCTTAAAATTTGTTCTCTTGTTGAACTCCTCTTCACACAAAGTTTCACAGTGGGCCCAGAATGTTGGATATGGGACACAGAGCATGATTTTTCACTAATGGTGCTTTTTGTTGAACCATTTTATTCAGATTATTGGCTAGGTATAACTTTTGAATTAGCTACTTTATTTCCTTAGCTGTGGCACATTCATTATCGGTGGTTTTTCATCTTAAATTTTTAGTCCAGGCAGGACCGAAATGGATGGTATCTCAGGGCTGTTTCCCTCAACATGGACTGATAGGAAGATCTACACAGGATATGAAGCAACTTTGTCAATGTAGCGCCCTCCAAATATTATGGGCTACCATTTCCATCAGCCACAGCTGGTAAGACACGTGCTGTACCAGTTGGTGATGTAGAAAGATGTAGCCTTACATATCGGGCAGTATAGGGTGTATAGCACCAGCTTTAAGAGGGCTGGCCATTATTGGGGGAAGGCTGATGGCAATTGTTGGTCAAAATATGATAGTAACTATAATTGTACCTATAAATATAATAATAACTGTAAGTATAAATGCAACTATAGCTACAAAATAACTTTTGTGCTCTGGTTTTAAGTGTTTCTACGAGTGGCATCATTTTTTCTGGGGTAAGACTGTCAAAGAGAGATGATTAAAAAAAGCAATTGGATTTCCGTAGACATTTTTAAAAAAGAGCCATAATATGAATAAAATACAGGAAGAAAATAGAAAAATATTTCTCTGTTGTTTAGTTAAATAGAGTATTTTTGTCAGTTATTTTTGTCAGGATTTTCAAATCCTCTATAATGATTTATTAAAACCTTTTTGGGAAAGGATTGCTATTTGCTGTGGGAAAAAACATATTTTTGGAAGGGAATTTGTTCTGAGTCAATAGCCAAGCCGTCACTGATTCCAATTTACAAGGTTGTGTGGCACAAACCCTCCCGGATTATGAAATAACTTGGAGAATGTGGAAATGATACAGAGCCGTTCCACAGGAAATATGATATGAAAACAAGAAACTTTTCTCTCTCCAGCTCCTCCCCCCTGTGTTTGTGTGTGCATACAAAGACATGAGTGTGGGGGAAGGAAAACAAGTGAATATGTTTTTAAGTTATGTTATCTAGTGTGAAGAGTTGGACACAGTTCTTGGAAAGGATTATTTGCAGGAGATTCTGGAGTTCTTCTAGAGTAAGCTAAGATGGAGTTTTCTGTAAAGACAAGTGCTAATACTCTACAGTAGCCCAGTATACATGAAGAACCTAATTAGCTATCTTCATAGCCACCATTTCTTGGAGGAAAGCACTCCTCAATCATCCCACTATTTCATGCACTTGGAATCTGAACTGATTCGATAGGGGCCAGGGATGGAATTGGGATTTTGCTGGGCTACAGTGCTCCCTGCGGCCCAGCCACTTCCCTTCCGGAGCTGGCTGACTTTGTCTCCGCGGCATTGTTGGGATCCCCGAGGCTTCTGGTCTTGGGTGATTTCAACGTGCATGCGGAGGCAGAGGTTACTGGGCCAGCTCTTGAGTTCTTGGAAACCATGGCTTCCTTGAACATGTCCCAACATGTCAACGGCCCCACCCACGTGGGTGGCCACACGCTAGACCTGGTTTTTTCCTCCAACTGGGGCGAGAGTGGTCTGATGGTGACGGACCTTGTGTCTATCCCCTTGTCATGGTCAGATCACCACCTGATAAAATCTAACCTCACAGTGGCTCTCTCCCCCCGCAGGGAGCAGGGGCCTATTTCCATGGTCCGCCCTCGAAGACTACTGGATCCGATCGGTTTCCAGGAGGCCATGAGAGGGATTACGGCTGACCTGGCTAGCGCTCCTGTTGACGTCCTGGTGGACAGCTGGTCCACCGCTGCCACCCGGGCAGTCGACACGATCGCACCCAAACGCCCTCTCCGGCGCAGAACTCGTCCAGCGCCCTGGTTCAACCTG